GAAACCTTGTGGAGATGGTCAGAAAGGGAAGGTAAAAAGAACATACCAGCATGACTGAAAAGAAATAACTTAAAGAGGTCTGCTTCAGAAACATCTTCTCTGCAAAATTTTCAATTCCTACCTTCAGTGTCTCTCTTCTTAGAGGACTTACTTCACCTATCTTTGGAATAACTAACATCAAATCACAATTAAATGTCTCTAAAAAAGTTCTTTTTTAAAAAGTGTAATACTGTATTTTCAGGTCTTCTAGTTCTGCAAAACTGCTATTTTTGATGTAATTACAAAACAGCACTTATTCCTATCTCACCAATCACAAACATATGTAAAAATGTTGACATTCCAATATGCACTCCAATCACACAGTCTGTGAAGTTTCAATCCTTTGCATGCGATCCCAGAAGTGTAATACTGGCCTACTGCCAATGTTACACATTAGGGTAATCACAGAAGGTTCCTTTAAAGAAAAAAAAAAAAAAAAGTGTTTCCAAAACTGTTAATAGTATCAAATACCACAGGATGATAACTTATGTCGAAACACTTCTAATAGTTCTTTAGATTTCCATTTCTTCCCTCTTTTTAAGGGCTCTTCTTTGAAGTCCACCTATAATCCAAAATGGACCTTCTGCAGATAGGTGAGTCATTTTGGAGGCAGAACACTTCCAAACAAAAACTAACAAAGTTGAACTGGAAACATAACGTTTTGTTAAGAATCATTAACATAAATTAAACCCTGAAGATCTTACTTTCCCTAACTGCATTCTGTGATAGCTTTAACCAGCCCAGCAAAAAAGTCCACACAATAGGAGCAGCAAGCATAAAGATTATCAAACTTGCTATTTATTTTTTGAAATAAATTTACTCTCTACATCGCAAAGGCAGCTCACTGTGCTAATTACTACATTAAAGGTTGTTTTCCAAGAATTTCTCTCAAAGCCAGGAAGACAGAAAGGAAAACACTAAGCACAGTACCAGGGCAAAACATCACCAGAGTTTTACAGAGGATTTTCCCCCTGCTTACGTAATACATCAATCTAATAGAATTTATCACTTTAGAGCACGTATCTACCCTATAGCCCTTACAGACTTTGCTTCCAGATAATGTAGCATTTCCGCAATTAGTATCCTGCAGCCAAAGCAATGCTGAAAGTTCTCAGAGTACAATCCTAGTGTGGATCATGTGTTTATTCCACAAAAGTCAAAGATCTAGGTTGATGTCACAAAGCCTGCACAACAGACTTCGAGACACACAATTAATATGCATTTCTCAATCGCAAATGCTCAAGCTGTAGACTATAGCGTAAAGAGGGTATATCAAAAAAAAACAATTTATACGTGTAGTCTTCTGGCAACTGTAAAAGCAAATCCCATTCTCCCTTACAAATAAAAGCACAGTAGCAACCTGCTTTTGTTTTCCATTCCAATTGCCTTAATGAAATATATATGCATATTTTCACCTGCAGCAGGCATAATTCAAAACTGCATTAGCACTGCAGCATGCAGTAATACAAACATATATATGCAATCTCATAACCACAGTTTATTTTTTGCTGGCTTTAATCTTGATGTCAGATGCTACTTTATCCCCAAAACTGGTACGCAGATCTTTTGAAATGCCTAAAAATAAGGAGCTTACACTAAAGAGGAAGACCTGAAATTGCTTCAGCTACAATTTACTGCAGTCTTTAAACATGACATGGAGCATCATCTTAGTTTTTAAAGCTGCATTTCTAACTACTGACTTGCCATACTGCCCCTGTGAATTAAGTATTTTAAAGTTATATCAAGTCAGTCATATTTTTTCAAGGTAACAAAAAAATAAACTACAGTTAAGCACTTCTGAAATATTGTGCTTAGTGAAATGGCGCTCTCCTATTATTTTGCCTTACTCTGAATTACTGATCAAGCCTGACTGAAGGAACATCTCCTTTTCCCTTGTGTTCCTGTATTGCTTTGACTGAATCACATTCTCCTGAAGTAACTTGAAAACATGATAAAGGAATCCTAATTTTGGAATTTACATTTACTCCATGAGTTACCTGCATCTCCTGTGAGGAAAACATTTTCTTCTGCTGCTATTCATGTTGTGATACAAACCATACAAGAAAAAAAAAAACAAACTACTGAGTTGCACTTCTTTGTTAGAAGACATAAGCTTTCTGAATAACTTACTATGTGTGTCCCTTTGGCAGTGCCCCATGTATAGTTATTTTTCTTTTTGGTATACTATATTGGAGGGTTTGTTTTGATCTCAGTAAAGCACCTAACTTCAACTTAATGAGACAGCCTTAGAGAAAAGGTGGAAGACAAAAGGGTTTGAGAGAAGTGTTTTATATAAAGGACATTACACAGTTTGAGAAGTACGCTCATAGTAAGAAGTTCCTAGATTGTTCAAGAGGAATTCTACACATGAAAGTTAGTAGAACAGTCAGCAAACCCAGGTCAGCAGGATCTGGGGCAAATATGTTCACAGGAATATTCTATTGTGTTTTTGACTCAGTCATTCAAATTAGATGTGATAGAAGTTACTTAGTTCATCTTTGAAAGTTAACTCTTACTAAGAAACTAAATATCATGTTTCCTTTTTTCTCTCTATATATTGAATCATCTCTCAAAAATTGTAACTACAAAAATATCAAGATTTGCACCTCTATGACAATGAAGTCAATGTAATAGAATAAGATATTAGAGATAACAATTAAGATAAAATTAATGTTTGCAATAGATGCAAGAGAAGTATTTTTTATTACATATCCTGTTTCTATTCTAAAAAGCACTGTTCTTCACTCTAGAACTTTTGTTTACCACAAAGCTCAGTTAAATTCCCAAGCTTTCTGCCTAAAACTTGATGCTTGAGCAAAGAAATCAGAAAACACACACAAGGTAAAATATTACCAGAACCTACAAGTCACTGGGAAACAAATGCAAGATTCCAGTCCTGCAAAAGTCTAATTTATGTGTAAAATCCTAGTACAATCACAACTACCTTACAGTTATTTTAAATGCACAGCCTGAAGACAACTCATAGCTTTTATTTGCAAAATGTTCTGAAATCCTTGGCAGAACAGACATGCATGTAACTTTTCAGAATTTCAGAATAGTATCATGAAGCATAAAATAACGTATGAAAAACACAGAATTTACTTTAACTCTTTTCATATCTTTCCATACAAAAGTTCAAAAAATTCCAACACTATGCATCTAAATCAATATTTAACCCATATCCACCTGAAGATATCCGATATACAGTAACTCAAAAAACACAGGATGCACATCCAATGATGTGGAACTCAAGGGTAAACACATATGATTCCACAACGCAAATGGAGCACTGTTTCTGAGGTCAACTACTATTTAATGAACTACTGAGTAAAGATTCTGGAGAAAGAAAGGGAAATAGATCAAAGGAACAGAAGCAATAATTATTCTTTGACAGTATTACCTTGCATATCTACTAGGCCCTAAGGTAAAACTGAAATACATGTGCTGTCTGCACCATTTAGGAACCACAAATCTGTAGCAATATCTTTAAAACTTTAATGTACAATTTGCATGCATATGAAGTTAAACCGCAGTTAAACCAGCAGAAGAATCACTTTATTTTCCCCTTATGAAATTTCAATTCAGCTGAAGCTGACTATGAAGATATCAGACTCAGAATTCAAAACAAGACAGAAATACCTCTCCTTTTGCTGAAGTCATCAGTTTTCGAACAGAGGTAACATAATGTGTTCTGTGATAAATACTGTTATTTAACTGATCAACTCTGCTTCAGTTGTGTATAAATATGAACTATGTCTCCAACCTGAGACTGCCACCAGCTTTCATTCTCTTCATTCTTACTTCTAATGAAATGTCACCTTCATCCATTTTAGCATACATCTGAAGAAGGCCAGCAGCTCCTCCCTTAGGGCTTTTAAATTACCTTTAAAATGTTTTAGCTATGTAATCCTTGACAGAAATTCTTTCCATTTTCTCTTTAACAAACGTTATCTGTCCTTCATTCCTAAACAAAACCATTCGCATATGGCTTGCTCACCATACAAGAAAGATTACAGCACCAAAGCATTTTTTTAGTTATTCCAATAGCTACTATCAAGTCTGAAACATGGGGCCTACTAGCCTCGATGATATACTTTCAAAATACATTGTAATTTCATCCCAGTCTTTAACAAAGAGTCAATATATTTTCTCTACTGGAAACACATCATGAGAACTCTTAAATCAGCATGACAAGGCCACAGGTATTCTTGCACTTCACCCTCAACATCTAAGCATTTAAGACATTACCAAGCACCTTAAATAAGCCCCTCTTCAGCAAAAGGAAGCATCACTTGAATTTCTCTGTTTAAAAAAACTCCAAAAATTACTTATTAAAGAAAAGAAGAAAAACTACACTTATTATAGAAGAACTACTTCTTATTATAGAAGAAAAACTACACTTTCCCTAAAATAAATAGCCAATCAATAGTCCCTTTTCAATAGGCTTGATTGCCTATCTCCCACGTATCCAGATTCCTGCCTATTCAATACTGATTCCGGGCATAACTTCCCTAACTAGAAAGTGATACTACAGCACTTCCTGCGAACATTCCATCTCTCTCTTCGTACACCAGGTTTTCACGTTTTCAGTATGTCTGAGCTTTTTTTACTACACGATTGATAAAAGATGCACTGTGATTCCCCCTGGGGGACTGAGGGTAGCTCTGCGAAACGGGGCAAAGAAGCCATTCCAGACGCGGCCTTTAGGGTATAAACCTGCCAGACTTCGCCCGCTAAAGGGCACACGTCCTGCTGGATTAAAAAAAAAAAAATCAAACCGCAGAGACAACCCTTCTTAAGCGAGACTCGTTTTGCCTAAGTGAAGAGGAGAAACGAAAAAAAGCGTCTCTCTCTTTCACGCGGAGGACAACCAAACGAGAAGGGAAAAAGAAGGGAGGATCTGGCCAGCCTCCAACCTCGCCTGAGGCCGGAGAAGCAGAGCGGGGAGGACGCTCTCTTACCTTCGTGAGCTGGGCAATCTTCTTGCTCATTTTGAAATGCAGGTCCGGGCTGTGCTCGGCGCCGAGTCCCGCCTGGGCAGAGGCCGAGGCGAATTTTCCCGCGCCG